AGACTTGTGGAGGTCTACAATGTATTTTTCTGAGGTCTTGGCTGGTTTATTTTGATTTTCCCATGATGTCAAGCAAAGAGGCACTGAGTTTGAACGTAGGTGTCACGACTTCCACCGAGGCTGCCTCCCCTCCTTGTTTGGGCAGGCTTCGGCGTTCGTCGTCACCGGAGTACTAACCACCCAATCATCATATCAATTGTCTTGTCAATCACACACACCTGGTTCTATTCCCCTAATTAGTCCATGTATAAATGTTTCCTCTGCCCCCTTGTCCTTGTGGGTGATTGTTTGTTGTGGAGGTTAGTAGCTCGGTGGAGCTCTTGTATTTTGGTATCGACGGGAGTATTTTCCAGTGCACCTGTTATGTGCCCTGGAGTGTGTTTGACGCATTTCTGCGTAAACCTGTATTTTCTGGATTAAAGCCTGTTTCTGTGATTTACCCTCCTGCGCCTGACTCCTTCAACACCACCTTATCACAGTAGGCCTTGAAATACATCCACAGGTACACCTCCAATTGACTCAAATGATGTCAATTAGCCTATCAGAAGCTTCTTGTCACGATCGTCTGAAGAAGCGGACCAATACGCAGCGCGTGGAGTGAACATGATGACTTTATTTAATAAAGCAACCACGAAAAACAACAAATGACGATAGTGAAGTCCTCTGTAACACTGACAGAAACATGGAACAAAAACCCACAAAACCAAGGTGAAACCACACAGTATAAATATGGCTCCCAATCAGAGATAACGAGCCGAACAGCTGACACTCGTTACCTCCGATTGGGAGTCATATGACTAATCAAACACAATCACCCAACATAGAAATGAACAACCTAGACACCCCAACATAGAAATACACCCAAACAAATGAAAATGAACAACCCTGGCTCAAATATCAAAGTCCATGGAGCCAGAGTGTCACAGTACCCCCCCCTAAAGGTGCGAACTCCGGGCGCACCAACATAAGGACTAGGGGAGGGTCTGGGTGGGCGTCTGTCCACGGTGGCGGCTCTGGCCCCGGTCGTGATCCCCACCCCACCACAGTCACAACCTGCTTCAGTAGCCTCCTCCCAATGACCACCCTCCAACTAACCCCACCTGGACTAAGGGGCAACACCGGACTAAGGGGCAGCACCGGACTAAGGGGCAGCACCGGGATAAGGGGCAGCACCGGGATAAGGGGCAGCACCGGGCTAAGGGGCAGCACCGGACTAAGGGGCAGCACCGGGCTAAGGGACAGTACCTGACTAAGGGGCAGCACCGGACTGAGGGGCAGCTCCGGACTGAATGGCGGATCCTGGCTGGCTGGCTCTGGCGGATCCTGGCTGGCTGGCGGATCCGGGCTGGACGGCTCTGGCGGATCCTGGCTGGACGGCTCTGGCGGATCCTGGCTGGACGGCTCTGGCGGATCCTGGCTGGACGGCTCATGGCTGGCTGACGGATCTGGCTGCTCATGGCTGGCTGATGGATCTGGCTGCTCATGGCTGGCTGACGGATCTGGCTGTTCATGGCTGGCTGACGGATCTGGCTGCTCATGGCTGGCGGAAGGCTCTGGCTGATCCTGTCTGGCGGACGGCTCTGGCTGATCCTGTCTGGCGGAAGGCTCTGGCTGATCCTGTCTGGCGGAAGGCTCTGGCTGATCCTGTCTGGCGGAAGGCTCTGGCTGATCCTGTCTGGCGGAAGGCTCTGGCTGATCCTGTCTGGCGGAAGGCTCTGGCTGCTCCTGTCTGGCGGAGAGCTCTAGCGGCTCCGGTCTGGCGGACGGCTCTGAAGGCTCATGGCAGACGGGCGGCTTTGCAGGCTCAGTACAGACGGGCAGTTCCTGCGGCGCTTGGCAGACGGACAGTTCAGACGGCGTTGGGCAGACGGGCAGTTCAGACGGCGTTGGGCAGACGGACAGTTCAGGCCCCGTTGGGCAGACGGCAGACTCTGGCTGTCTGAGGCGCATCGTAGGCCTGGTGCGTGGTGCCGGAACAGGAGGTACCGGGCTGAGGACACGCATCTCAGGGCTAGTGCGGGGAGAAGCAACAGGGCATGCTTGGCCCTGGGGACGCACCGTAGGCCTGATGCGTGGTGCCGGAACTGGAGGTACCGGGCTGAGGACACGCATCTCAGGGCTAGTGCGGGGAGAAGCAACAGGGCATGCTTGGCCCTGGGGACGCACCGTAGGCCTAGTGCGGAGAGCAGGAACAGGCCGGGCTGGGCTGGCGACGCGCACCGTATCTCTGGTGCGAGAGGCCGGAACAGGCCGGGCCGGGCTGGCGAAGCGCACCGTATCCCTGGTGCGTGGAGTAGGAACAGGCCGGGCTGGGCTGGCGACGCGCACCGTATCCCTGGTGCGAGTGGCCGGAACAGGCCGGGCCGGGCTGGCGAAGCGCACCGTATCCCTGGTGCGTGGAGTAGGAACAGGCCGGGCTGAGCTGGCGACGCGCACCGTATCCCTGGTGCGAGTGGCCGGAACAGGCCGGGCCGGGCTGGCGAAGCGCACCGTATCCCTGGTGCGAGTGGCCGGAACAGGCCGGGCTGGGCTGGCGACGCGCACCGTAGGCTTCGTATGAGGCTCAGGAACAGGCCGGGCTGGGCTGGCGACGCGCACCATACACTTAGTGCGAGGGGCCGGAACAGGCCGTACCGTACTGGGGACACACACTACTGGCTGTACCTCGGGATTAGGAACGGGCCGGACCGGACTGGATACACACCTCAGTCTCTCACGCCGTGCCTCTACATCTCCTTTCCCTACTTTGGCCAGTGACCCCCTTAACCTGGTAGCCTCCTGAATCCGTCCCTTCTCTGCCTCCGTCAGCCCCCTTAACCTGGTAGCCTTCTGAATCTGCCTTGTGGCAGCCTCCTGCTGCTCAGTCGCCCAAGCCATGTGCCCCCCCCAAAAAACTTTTTGGGGTTGCCTCTCGTCCTTCCGACGATGGCCCTGCCGATGCCGTTGCTCCTCTCGCCGTCGCCTCTCCACCGTCTCGTTCCATGGTCGGCGATCCATACCATCCAGGATCTCCTCCCAAGTCCAGGACCCTTTACCGTCCAACAGTTCCATCCATGCCCAGACCCTTTGTTCCTGGACGCGCTGCTTGGTCCCTTTATGGTGGGTTTTTCTGTCACGATCGTCTGAAGAAGCGGACCAATACGCAGCGCGTGGAGTGAACATGATGACTTTATTTAATAAAGCAACCACGAAAAACAACAAATGACGATAATGAAGTCCTCTGTAACACTGACAGAAACATGGAACAAAAACCCACAAAACCAAGGTGAAACCACACAGTATAAATATGGCTCCCAATCAGAGATAACGAGCCGAACAGCTGACACTCGTTACCTCCGATTGGGAGTCATATGACTAATCAAACACAATCACCCAACATAGAAATGAACAACCTAGACACCCCAACATAGAAATACACCCAAACAAATGAAAATGAACAACCCTGGCTCAAATATCAAAGTCCATGGAGCCAGAGTGTCACACTTCTAAAGCCATGACATCATTTTCTGGAATTTTCCAAGCTATTTAAAGGCACAGTCAACTTAGCATATGTAAACTTCTGACCCACTGGAATTGTGATTCAGTGAATTATAAGTGAAATAATCTGTCTGTAAACAATTGTTGGCAAAATTACTTGTGTCATGCACAAAGTAGATGTCCTACCCGACTTGCCAAAACTATAGTTTGTTAACAAGACATTTGTGGAGTGGTTGAAAAACTAGTTTTATTGACTCCAACCTAAGTGTATGTAAACTTCAGATTTCAACTGTATCAGCTCTAACACGTGTCTCCTATCCCACCCTTATGGACAGGCCCCTTGTTCACTTTCCCTCTGGCCAAATACCATTGCACATAGATCATTCCATCTAACCCATACCACGTTGATCACTAGGCCACTTACATGGTTATAAACAAACTAAAACGTGTTGAAGTCAATTAGTCAGTTTCCAACAGTGACTAGGCCACTGACAAAAAATATCAGTTTAAACAATTTTAAACTCAGCAAAATGTGGAAAAAGTCAAGGGGTGTGAATACTTTCTGAAGGCACTGTAAACACTTTTTTCTGTGTATTTGAGTATGTTCAAATACACATCCCAAAACAATACTTTTATTTTAGTATTTGAATGGTTGTTTGAAAGCAAAGAAAATAGTAGACCAAATTGTATTTGAAAGTATTTTCAAAAAGTTATTTCAAATACCTGAGTTAAATGCATGGGAGTGTATTTGAGTCAGTGTATTTGAGTATTTTCAAATACATTCCAAGTGTATTTCCAAGTACATTCCAAGTGTATTTCCAAATACATTCCAATATTCAACTACTTGTTTTTTCAAATAAAGGTTATCCGAAAACTTGTTTTCAAATGTATTGAAAAGTAATTGAAATACCTGAAATAGTATTTGAACCCAGGTCTTGTGTCCTCAGTTGTTCCCCATTGTTCTTTGTTTATGTGTTGATTTAGTGGTAGAATATACCACACCTTAAGTTACAACTCAAACAAGCAATGGTTTTGTATTGAAATCTCTGGAATTTTCACAACACAAATGTGTCTGAGTGACTTACACAAAATGGGTTGCTTGGCAAATCCATATTTACATTTAATGAATTATTATGGATAGCAAGATAGCAGATAAACAGTGTATGTCCTCCTGACTAGGGTCTTGTTTGACCTTTCTTTCTTTTTTATATTTATATATGCTAAATATTGTGGTCCTCTGTAGCTCAGCTGGTAGAGCACGGCGCTTGTAACGCCAAGGTAGTGGGTTCGATCCCTGGGACCACCCATACACAAAAATGTATGCACGCATGACTGTAAGTCGCTTTGGATAAAAGCGTCTGCTAAATGGCATATTATTATTATATTATAAATAACACAAAGCACTATAGTACTGTTATTATTTACCCAAAACGGATCTTTATTTTCTATTTGAACTTTGTTGATAAGACACTTTTGCATTCAAAAGGCTGCCTTACCTAATCTGACTTTTCCCCTCTATACAGAGGTGTGGCCCTGGATACTACAGAGAGAGGACATGGCCTCATGGGGGCCAGTGCGTACCCTGCAACTGTAACGGCTTGTCTAATGAATGTGACGAGCAAACAGGGAGATGTCTGGTGGGTTTCTCTCTCTGTGTCTATCGATCTAACCCTCTGTCACTCTCTCTTTTACACACACGCACACATCCCACACATGGGGGGGGGGGGGAGTTATTTTTCTACGCTCTGCTGACGAGTATTTTTCTCCGCTCATACAGGAGTTGTGAAGGCCTAGTGCACTAATTTGGTGAGATTATTATTGTAATAATTTTTTGTGTTAATACTAAAATAAAATAAAAAAGGGATTTATCAGGGGTGTTGCAGCACCCTCAGCACCCTCAATTCCCGCGGCTATGGTCCCACTGGGCAAAAACGGGTTGAATCAACTTTGTTTCCACGCCATTTCAACAACAGAATTCAATGTGATGACGTTGAATCAACATGGAAAACTGATTGGATTTTCAAAAAGTAATCAATGTAAGGGAATTTAGTCTTTTTTTCACCCACCTTTTAACCTAAATCCAATGACATGGTGAATTTTTTTGTTGATATCACATTGAATTCACGTTAGTTGACAACTCAACCAAATGTAAATCAAAACTAGAACTAGAAATTATGTCTGTGCCCAGTGGGGTACATACGCACACACACATTGCAGGATAGGTTACTCCTGACTCACCAGTTAGGTAAACATATGCACTTTTTCCAACCCTTGCTGATCCAGATGGATATAAGTCATATCCACAGATTCGTTTTTATGCCAGACTTGATTAACTCTCAGTACTGTGCTATGATATCATGAACCATACCACCAACATTCCACAAACCTGCTTCAGTCATAAACAGAGAGAACACTTTATTTTCCAGAACTGTCAGTACAATGCTGATGGGGATCGATGTGAGCGCTGCAAGGAGGGTTACTACGGCAATGCTTCCCAAAAGACCTGTCGTGGGTGTCCATGTCCCTTCATAGCCAACAAGTCAGTTTCTATATGTCCATACACTCTGTTAATGTACCGGGAGCTATGTGAACATACTTGGTTTTAAGTTCCCCAGATCAAATATTGGATGAAAACATATCATTACCATTTGGTACTCAAAAGCTGTGTTTTTCTCTTTGTGTAGTTTTGCAGTAGCCTGTCTGGACATTGGTGCATCTGAAATCGAATGTTTGTGCAAACCTGGCTACACTGGAACCAGATGTGAGAGGTGTGTGTATGTGCTTTTTGCAGTACATATCAAAATGTCAATGTCATCTTACCATAAACACATTTATAACAAAAGTCTAACTTTCCTCTCCTCTTCCTCCTCCAATCTGGCAGGTGTGCTCCTGATTACTATGGTAACCCAATGATATATGGAGGCAGGTGCCAGCGATGCCACTGTGATGCTACCAGTACCTGTGACCATCTGACTGGAAGTAAGCTCAGGACCCACTTCAGCCGTAAAATAATAGAAATGTTTTAACAGGATGCCTGCTATATAATGATAAAGCTATAGGCTATAGATTGAAGAAATACCAGCATGAAATATCATGTTGATAATAGTTTGTCTCATTGTAGATTTGGTATAACTGTTGCTCACTTTGTGTCTTCTGTCTCTAGAATGTAAGAAGCCTGATGATCCCAGCACAGGCGACCAATGCAAAGGTTTGTGAAGCACACAGTCATACACTTTCTCAGTGTATAGTGAGCTATTATCTGTTGTTGCCAGCATGATTCACACTGCATTTCCTCTCATCCTATTAGACCTAACTAAATGATCTGCTCTTCCTCTCTTTGTGGTCAGAGTGTGACAGCTGTACTCAGGCCTTACTGAATGATTTGGAAAAGATGGATGATGGGCTGGAAATGCTAAGGCAGCAGCTTCAGGTCATTGGTTCCAACAGCTCACCAGCCGACCTTAACCAGCTGGAAGGTGCCATCAATGAAACAAAGGTAATTAAACACTGTCTTACTGATGTGCTCTATATATTTGAACACCAAATGGTGTATAATGTACACAATTGAACATGATGATCACTCCCCTCTGGTATTCTCTTACAGGCTCTGGTTGAAAGGTACAGCACTACTGTGGATGCTCAGGGGCCAAAGGTCAATCAGCTGGAAGCAGATGTTCTGAGTCTGGATCAGGACATAAGCCTACTGGAAGACAAGGTGCCTGAGGCCTGCTATCCATAATCAGATGTCAGATGTAATCCATTATTTTCTAGAAACACTATATCCTTTTTACTTGTGTGATCGTACTCTCTCTAGGCAAGTTACTCTCTCTCAGATGCTGAGAATGTCTTGGTGAAAGTGATCCAAACCAAACAGAGAGCTGAGGATCTTATCCCTGAAGCTCAAGATCTTCTAGTGAATATAGAAGGTAAACTGTTATTGAAAGTGTTTAAATATCATAATATAATGATACGTCATTGTCATGATAATCCCCACATCTCTTTTTGCACTCTCAGATCTCCTTCGATCGCTGAGTGAGGCTAACTCTAATGTAACCAACATCACTGTGGTGGCAGAGGAGGTAGCCAGGATGATGAAGGAGGTGCAGTGCATGGTGCAGGAGATGAGACAGCTTGGCTGTAGTAACCAGACAGAGAAGGCTGCCAGGGAGCAAGAGGATGCTCACAAACGTGAGACAGGGGGCTTTTGGCTTAGTCTACAGTCACTTACAGTACAGGGCAGCACTTAAATTATCTCACTATTGAATAATAAATGTTATACATCAATGTGACACACATTTTTGACTTAATCATTGTGAATGGTAGATATGACTCACAATGCAAAGTGTAATGCATGTGTCTCTCTTAGTCTTGGACTTCATCAGGAACAATATGACAGCTCCATTAGATGACAATCAGGCTGTAGCCAATGAGACGGCAGAGTCCCTGATGACGTCGGGCTCTGTGTTTAGGGATCTGGCCAAGGCTGTGGCAGAAGCAGACGATATGGTTAACAGGACACGGAGACTCAACTCCAACAGTACTGACTTCCTAAGAGACCTGATGGTAATGTCAAACACTGAAGTATAACATCTATTAAATATGTTGGAGATCTCAGATACAACACAAAAAATGTATCTCCTTTTTCTCAACATGACAAATACCAAATCATGTCTCAAGTTTCTGTGTTTGACTGAGGTAATCACTGCTCTCTCTATATATATACATTTTCTAGAAACTAAGAGATGAGCTGGAGAGGAAACATGATTCAATCCTTCCTGAAATGAATATGGCCAAACATAAACTGAAGAATATCACAAGCCTTTTGGAAATGCTGAAGGAGATCAAAAAGGTATGAAGCAGATGAATTCCAATCGTTTCCAGTGGAAATTCCTATTTCTCTTGTTTTGAAGGAGGCATTCAAAATATCATTTAAATCTTTCAGGAATACGAGCACCTTGCAGCCGAGATAGATGGAGCCAAGCCCAATCTAACCAAGAGGCTGAATGATATCGCTGAAGCAAAGCAGAAGGAGGGCATTGTCATCATGGCAGAGGAGCATGCTGAGGAGCTACACAGACTGGCAATGGAACTACAAATGTAGGTTGACAGAGTAAGGTCGTTAGGTTGGGGTCCTACTTCTTTATACCCCACAGACGTGTCCTAGGTTGAGACCTTTGTGTGTTTGTGTCTGTATGGGCTAGTATGGGCCACTGTAAGTGCTGTATTCCTTGTTATTGCAGGGCAGTACACAATGCCACCAACAGCTCTGACCTGCAGCATGCTGCAGAAAGCGTGGGAGCCTACAGCAGCATCATAAAAGCCATTGAAGAGGCAGAGATGGCGGCCAATCAATCCAAAGAGGCAGCCGACAAAGCTCTGAAGGTGATTATTATACTGGTCTGGATGCTACAGCCACAATGAACTTTAAATTCACAATGACATCCCGTAACTTTGATGTGTTTTAGGATGTGGAGGAGCAAGGACTGACCAACAGGTCTGAGGAACTAAAGCATAATGCAAGTAGCTTACTGACAGAGGCCATGAATGCTGAGAAGGACCTCAGAGGTGTAGTAATCATCCTAATATTTGCTTTTCTAACGACACTAAAGCTACATTAGAAACAAGAATGTATCATGTTATTGACTCATTCTCAAACCTTCCAGGACATTATATGAGGCAAAGGCTTTGTTTTACGATGTTGAAGAAAGCTATGCACTTTGAACTTGTTAACGGATTTGTTGGAGGCCAAAACAGACTGCAGTATACTGTATGCCCTCGATAAAACACATTACAGTGTCTCCTTCTGATATCTCCTTCTGATATTATCTTATTGTATATTACCACTTATCCCCAACGTTTCTTTTACACACAGAGACCTCAGCCAAAGTTGACAGTGACAAGCAACGTGTTGGTCAGACCAAGAACAAAAGAGACATGCTGAGAAAAGATGCTCTTGCAGTTACAGAGAATCTTAAAGAGATTCAAAGAGGTTTGTGTACACAAGATGAAAGATGAGGCTTGAGTTTTAATGATGCCATGGAATTGATGAGAATGACAGTTTACACATTCTGTGCCACAACATGACCATACTTATGTTATTCACGCACACTATTTGTTTGTGTTTCAGATGGCATTGTGCAGCTCATAGACTCTGCCAAAGCAGCTGTCACCGCTGCCAATAACACAGTCAATGATGTAACAGACAGACTAAATAATATCAGCCTGGGACATATAAGGCTTCCTAATGTCAGTTCAAACATTGGCAGTGTGCTCAATGAGGCTGGCAATGAATGTAAGTACTCATGTCACACACACACAGTAAGTCTGTCCTGTCATCCTTCCTCTAATTATAATCTCAATTCTGCCTCTACTCTTTAAATTAAAGAGTAGACTTCAGATTCTTTAATTCAATTTGAGTTAATGTTACAAAAGGGAAAGTGAAAAGAAAGTAGTTGGTTGGAGCTGTTTTTATTTCTCTCCTGACTGGTACAGTGAAGAAATTGAACGAGACATGGCCTACTTTGGAAGACACCCTCAGCTGGGTGCAAAACCTGAGCTCCCAGGCTCCACCTAGTGTCAGTATGACAGACAGCATCAGGAGAATCAAGGACGTGATAGAGGAGGCCAGAGACATTGTCAAAAGAGTGAGACACCACATCTGACCTAAAATACTATTGATTGTTCATTCTATTTTGATCGTTTTCCTGTGAACCTTTGTCCTTACATTTTGTCCTTTCTTGACCAAACGTGATCACTCCAACCATTACACTATTTTTCTTGAGTCTTTCTGTCTGTCTGTATATGGCTGTCTCTGTCATATTGAATGTCCATTATTCCTCTCCTGGTGTGTCTCCCCAGCTCTCTATCGGCATGACCTTCAATGGGAAGGGTCACATTGAGCTCCGCCCCCCCACCAATGTTGAGGATTTGAAGGCGTTTACAGCCGCTGAACTTCTTCTCAACCGCCAGGAGACCAATCCCACTAGGGGCCGCAGCCGTAGGCGCAGACAGAACACACAGGATGACAGAAACCTCTTTGTGCTCTATCTCGGCAACGAGGACGTAAGTGGGCCATCTGAGTAAATAATGTAGTCATAATATCGTAGAGCATTAATCTTGGAATTTCAATTGATTCCATAACTATTTTGATACATTTTGTATCGGAGATGCTCAGTATTTGTTTACTTTTCATTTATGGCTTGTTTCCCCCCTTCCAGTCATCGAAAGACTTCATTGGAATGGCTTTAAAGAATAACACACTCCGCTGTGTATACAAGCTGGGTGGAGTCGTACATGAGTTGAACACCGACCACATAACCAGAACCAAAGTGAACTCCACTGTTTTTGACAAGGTCGTCTTTAACAGGTACACCTCTGAGGAATCATTCTGGATTTGATACTAACTTGATGACATGAGACAGTTTGTTCATGATGGAAACAGCTCCCTTGTAATCCCCACTGTGTTTGCCTCCTATTTCTCTAGAGTTTACCAAGATGCTGAGGTCAGTCTCACACATAGCTTTCCATCACAGCCTGTCAAAGCGTTTAAGGAGAGTTGCCGGCCCAACACGACAGTTGGCCTCCTCAACCTGGACACGAACAGTGTAGTCTTCTACGTGGGCGGCTATCCTGACGACTTCACTGTAATTACATTCCTCTATCCTTTTGCCTCCCAGGTGCTCTGTGCTTTTGCATCATCCTCATTGTTGAACACAGAAGTATACTGTAAACATCAGCAGGACCAGACCAGTCTTATTCTCCCTATTCAAGTATTGTTTTATTTCACTATGCCCTTCTCTCATTAGCCTCCAGTGGAGCTGCGCTACCCCAAGTACCGTGGAGCCATCAAACTGTCTACTATCAACTATCAATTCTTTAGTCTGTACAACTTCAAGAATGCCATCAACGTAGACAAACAGTCATTAATAAAGTAAGAACCAACAAAAGTGACCACCACCTTGATTATAAATCTATTATACCATACTGTACGTAATGGTGAATGCTGTCCACATTTTCTAATTTTGCCTGTTATGCTTTGTACCATGACTATATATAGAAACCCTTCCTGCTTCAGTGTCAGAATGTATCATGCAATTCCTTCCTTCTTTCAGGGTTATGGTTAGTCAACAGTCAACAGTGCCTTATTATTTTGACGGCACTGGTTACGGTTTGGTTACAGCTAATAAAGACCTTGAAATCCTGAGAAGAAGACTTCTCAAGTTCCACACAAACAGCCAGGTGGAGAATGCATTACTGTTTTATAATGGAAATAAGGTATGTATATTTGTCTATTCGTATATCTGATATCAGTTAAAATTATTAATTCAGAATCACAAACAGAAACCATTGAATAATTAGTATGTGCAAATGAATTAAATATCTGGTTTACACTGGAAGTTGTGTAATCAATCAAGCTTACAATTTCATCAAGTAGATACAGGAACATCAATGTATTGCAGTTGGACATGAATAGATGTAGTCCTTATTGAGATTTTATGTTTGGTGTGTGTAGAGCAATGTCTTCATAAATATGTTGCTGCATTCACTTGTTTGTTGTATTTCACAGGATTCGTACACTAGTGTTACTGTGGAGAGAGGTTATCTTGTGCTGCAGGGAAGACAAGGCACCCAAGTCCTCAATGTCAAGAGTACTAGAAAGGTTTCACTCAATGTAAGATAGTGTCAGGGACTTACTGTACGGTTTAGTTTTGTCTGCATAAACTTTTTTTTAAAGTTCTGCTTTCTCTCTTAGAATGTACAATTTATAATAGTCATGGACAAAACATTTGAAGTTCATGTTGTACATGGAGATACAACTGAGATTGTCAAAATGAATTACAACATAGAAAGTTTCAAGAATTTCTACATTGGGGGTCTACCAGCATCATTAAGAGAAAGGTACAAAACTTTGTGAATAGGCTTTCTGCCATAACCTCTTGCAAGGGATACATGCATTTTCCTGGAATGTTCTCTCAATTATACAATTATCCATGTCATGCTTTTTCCTTCAGAGATAACGTCACAGCCCCTCCATTCAGAGGATGTATAGATAATGTGATTTTATCACCTGAGGAGATTGAGTTTAACACGACAATTGGTGTCAGTGTTGGATGCCCAACCTCACTTTTGGTAAACCGTCTCTCATAAATTGCCACACCATTTTGTAAATGCATTTCAGACTGCACAATGTGGAGGATGAGTTTATACATTTTCGAGTACAATGTGTTTTCTTTTCAGGGTGTTCATGAGGCTACTTTCCACCCTGGTGGCTCCCTCTCAGTGGACTCTCAGGGTTTCTGGACCACCCCTGTGGACATGGTTTCTCTGGGGTTCAGGAGCATGGAGAATGGAAGTGATCTTCTCAGGACCAGCAAAGAGGTCAGTCCACTATTCAATAATGGTTGAAGATTCTCTCTCAGAGAGCCTCATCCAAAGGCTGCTCTCTGTGTGTCATATTTTAACCTCAAGCACTAGCAAGAGGATCAAAATTAGTTATCAAAATGAAATGAACAGTTTTGTTTTAGAATTAAACACTTTTTGTAAACACTGTCATTACACCATTTCTTTATTGATCAGCATCATGGATTCCAGCTCTCATTGGTTGATGGCTATGTGGTGTTTACCTTTGATGAAAATGCCTTGAAGTCTACCAAGACATACAATGATGGAAGATGGCACTACTTGACTGCATTAAGGAATGGCACACGGTAAGACATTTTTATTTTCATTGGTCAAGCTGTGCTGAGATGTTTCTTATCTGAAACTCTGAAATTGCAATAAACTCTACAATGTTATCCACACACCCACCGACAGACATAACAAAAGCACTGTGGTTTCCTCAGATTGGAGTTGAGGGTTGACAACGGGGACTTGGGCCAGCGTCAATCCTCTCCCCAAGTCAAGCCCAATGAACAGCAGGTTGTGTTGGGAGGAGAGACCTTCAGGGGCTGCCTGGCTAACCTTCATATCAGGAGGTCTGATTCAAAGGCTCTTATTCTAGATTAAAACATTGCTTTCTGAAAAGTGCTACATGATGCTATAGTCACACTATAGTTACAATATAGTTATAACAGTAAAAAGAATTAAAAACCAAACTTCTATGAGGTGACATTATGATTCAACATTGTGGTCGTTCCAATTCATGACAATTTGAGGAAAAATGTACTTACTACGACTGAGATATGTGGTTGTCTCACCTAGCTAGGTTAAGATCAATGCACAGACTGTAAGTCACTCTGGATAAGAGCGTCTGCTAAATGACAAAAATGTAAAAAATATATATATATTAAAGTCAATGTGTTTCAATGATTATTAGCTACAGTGTGTTCTCTAATGAATTAAGTCAGTTGTAGAAAGTAAAAATAACTGATGATGTGCTTTTTGTCATTCTATCTGTTTGTGCTCTGACACAGGCCTGAAGAAAGCTTTATTCCTGCTGACTTCAGCTCGTTCACCCAGAAGGGAGATGTAATCCTGGGGATGTGCAGACTACAGCCCCCTCCTCAGGTCATATGGGAGCCAGCAGGCATTCAAGAGAGGCCCAAGAAACCCAAACCAGTGAGCATAGGGATATTTCCCAAAGTTGATTCAAGCATATGATAACCATCAGGCTATTCATGGTCAAAGTGTGCAGTAAGGGATATGTTGGCTCTTTTCATTTTCCTGAAAAGTTTTAGGCTCTCACTCAAGCGACAGGGATGTAACTTTGGTTTGGTCTTCCAGCACAAATGTCTAAAATAGCCAAGAGATAACTAGAGCACAAAATAAAAATTTCTCAGAAATATTTTACAGGCTTGTAATGCTGCAGTGAACTGGTCCTTTATTATTCATGTCAGTAATGATAGTTTTGTCATCTTATTACTATGTAATAAAATTGTATAATACAGTAATTATAAAGTAATTACACAAGAATAGAGCAACTTACCGTATTGGTATATTACTAATGTGTAACCTCTCCCCCAACCCCCTCTATCTGGCTGAAGAGATCTGGTGCTGTGCATACTGAGTGCAGACTGCCCACAGTGCCTGACCCCCAGGCCTACCAGCTAACTGGGGCCGCTAGTTGGCTCAGTTACAACATCACACCTGAAGAACTTAATTTCAGGTAGAGCAGGTCAAATGCTGGTCCTCGCATCCACATTGCATTAAAAAAGACATTCTCTGCACATTTCTATTTCTATTATTTAACCGTTATAAAACCTATGAAAACAGACAATCCAATTCTACTATTCTCTATCTGTGGCTTGCGTGTTCTTCTTGCTAGGCCTCACTTCTCCCTGGAGATCAGAACCAGGTCATCTGAGGGGCTGTTGCTCCATGTCTCAGGGAACGGGGACATCTCCCAAGTCGCTCTGTACATGACCAACGGCAAGATCAAACTCTCACTGGGGAAGGACAGAGTCATCCACAACAAGAAGAAGAGCAACGATGGAAGATGGCATACAGTAAGCTGTCTGATAACTGTTGAGATATCAGGTCTTGATATTAGGATAATTAAATGAAGTCATAATAATCATTGCTAGTTTCAGGTAATTCTAAATAGTGCAAAATGTACATTGTACCTCACAGCCACAGCTGAGAGATTTACAAGTGTAAAGCAGTTGATAACCGCCTGCATGGCCTGTCTGTGTGCAGGTAATGGTCAGTGTGGAGAAGAACACTTTCCATCTGGTCGTGGATGGTTTCCGTGTGCCTGATGGTATTCTGCCTGCAGAGGAGGGTTCCTCCTTAGCCCTGCAGAACCCGGTCTATCTGGGCAGTGACCCTGCCTCCAAAACCTATTGGGCTCAGGTGAGCAAGCAGACACACAGAGTTTAATGGCGTCTAAACAAACCAGACACAACACAATGTGAGGGTCATGATTGATTGTCCTGTAGGTTTGTATCTAGTGCATAATTACCGTATTTACTATGACATCTATATTTACATCCTGGAAAATGTGTGCTTGGTTTTAAAATGATGTCCATCTGTATCTCTCTCAGGGTGTCTCTCTTCCCAAGAAGAGTGTGATTGGCTGTATACGCCATTTCAAAGTGTACAATGTTCTGGTTGGTGAACCAGCCGCCAATCACGGGGTCCCGCCCTGCTTTGATGGGGCAACAGAGACGGGGGCATACTTTGCTGGCACAGGGCATGTGGTCTTAGGTGTGGACTTTATATAGTTATGAACTAAAAATACTTCAATTGTGGTGTCTTAGTTGTGAGCGTTATTGTTTAGCTCATCATCTCATTCATCCAGTAACTCTGACAAAGATACTTTGTGTTTTAGATAAGTTCTTTACTGTGGGCTATCGTTTTGAGCTGACCTTTGAGGCTCGCCCACAGAACACCACAGGCCTCCTCTTCCATGCCAGGGGTCGTCATAGGAACAGTCTAAATGTGTTCATGAGGAAAAACAAGGTGGGTCTTTTAAACCTCATCAACATGTATATGGGACGGTGGCGTTAGATACAGTATAAGCCTAAAGTATATTGAAATGTGTGGAAAACTTCGGAATATAATTTTTACTCTGAATCTCAGGTGGAGGTCCACGTGAATGATGGGTCAGGTGACTACAGTGCATCTGTGACACCTCAACAAAACCTGTGTGATGGCACATTCCATGTTATTGCAGGTACATATCCCTCTCACATCAACCACTGATTCATCCTCATACAGTACAGATACATTTAAACCGGCACATTTTTTACAAGGACTTGGAATGGTCCTCTAATAGCCAGTCCATCTACTGTATTCCTCAGTGTCCAAACAGAACAATGTAGTCCATCTGAAGGTGGACTCAGAGTCTCAGCGTACGGTCGGGCCTTCCCACTCCTCCTACACAATGACTCAGGATTCCCTCTACATTGGTGGCATGTCCGGTAAATTCATTCAACAACACTGGGGCGGCAGGTAGAGGTTAAGAGCGTTGTGCCAGTAAACGAAAGGTTGCTGGTTCTAATCCCCGAGCCGACTAGGTGAAAAATCTGTCGATGTGCCCTTGAGCAAGGCACTTAACCCTGTAAGTCGCTCTGGATAAGAGCGTCTGCTAAATGACTAAAATGTACCCATTACATCTCATTAAAATATCCTCTCTGAATCAAAACACTTTCCAAACATTGGTAGAGCATGTCAAACCTTGATGAACAGCTTCTGACATTTCTATAAATACATCAATATGACGTTTATGCTTTCCCCCCTATACAGGCACATCAAAGCATAAAGGAGTGCCAGTCTCTTCTTCGTTTGTTGGCTGCTTGCGGAACATAAAGGTCAATAAGAAGCCTGTTGTTTTTAAGACAGCCTCCAGTGTGGTCGGCCCTGTGAACGTCAATGAATGCCCAGCAGACTAAGGGGAGGAAATCAATTTGTGTTGCCCCAGAATACCTAATTCTTTGAACCACTGAGTTTATCTGTCTATGAATCAGCGGTTAGTGGTTGTCTGTCTCCAGATATGTGAGTAATATATAGACACTCACCTCTTCGTGTGCAATTTATATCACTGGAGGGCACTGCAGTGCTCTTATTATTGTGTTGGTGGCTTTGCAAGTTAATTCACACTGTTGGGGTTCAAGGCAATGTTTTTAAAGTGTTTCATGAATTGAACATTCACACCTTTTAAATTACAGTGACAGTGACTTTGATGTATTCTATGAATTAACAGGAAAAAATACCTTAATCAAGATGAGCTGGCACACAAATGTTATCCCTAGTGAGGCTAAAATATAATTTTTATTATTTGGAAAACCAGGTCTCACATTGATCAGTACTTCCCACTGGGCACACACTGGTTGAATCAATGTTGTTTCCACGTCATTTCAATGAAATTACCAACATGGAATAGATGTGAATTGACGTCTGTGCCCAGTGGGTTGCTGCTGTATAATTTAAATTGCAATTGCACAATCTGTTACAATATACTAAAAGTTAAGGTTTAACCAAATGCTTGTCAAAACCAATAAAAGGAATACCAAACTTATTGCCTGAACAATTTTCTCAATATTATGATTGGACTAAACTCCCATTGGCATGCCATGTAGTCATCATTAAGACTAGGAGTGAGAAGATGTTATTATGGGGTTCTAGGCTCTCCTCCCAGGCTGACTGCTATAGTCTACTGAGGTTAGTTCTGCACAAAGCTAGGACCCCCTGGCTTGGCACACATCATTTATTCATGCAGGATGCAATAATGTGTGTCTAATGCACTTCTGGGCTTAGCTCATACTGTGACCATGGACTGCAGAGTCCAGAAGACATCCTCTCTCTCTCTCTCTCTCTCTCTCTCTTACAAACACACTCTCTCTCTCCACTCTGTCTTTATCTATATCTTGCACATCATATAAAACATAATGAAATGCTTCAATATACTGGATCCCTTTGTTTGTTTATTATTTTCCTAGTTGGGGACACACCCTTGTCACATACCTCACTGCACATCACACCAGCACCCGTCTGCACTTGCAATTCTGGGAGAAAGGAACATCAAAGAGGTGGATACATGATATATATATATATATATATATATATATATATATATATATATATATATATATATATTTAAATTAGATATCTTATTCTAAACTCAAGCCTGAGAGTTGAAATAAACTGAAGTTAGGCACGTTTGCACATTTTGCTGAGGATATCTTTCATAGTTTTTGCAAGCTGCATGCCTTCTTGCTAAATATTAACATTTTCCTTTCAACGATGAAGACTGTGAGAATGTGTTTGTAGGCGTATGCTCTGATGTGACAGTGCACTGCTGTTGTTCTGAAGCTCGCAGTCAAGTGCGCGCTTATTGGCTGGCTGTGAGGTGAAAGGTTGTTGCTGTCGTCAAATTTGCTCAAAGGACTGGACTCTTGAGGCAGAGCAGGACATATTTGGAAAGGGTACTGATGAGAGGAAATAGGCAGCAGGCACAGGCAGGGCTAGCAGACGGTGCAATGGCAGGATGCTGATTTACCACAGCAGGCTTCATCTTTGGAACCTCCCAGAACCTGTATATACCTAGGCCAAAGCTATAGCCAACGTTATGACGACAACCATTTTTTCGACTGACGACGATCATTGCGTGCGGCAGACAAGATAGCAAAACGTCTGAATGAATGTACACGTAGTTTAATCATAGAAATAGCATGTAAATAGCGCCTTTGGTGCATTTGGACGAACCTTGAAGTTGGATGCGCGCCGATGATTCATTTACCGGTGGTCGATTTGCGGTGTAACAGCTTCAGAATTTTCGCCGAAAAGACGCGTCTCTCACCTCATTTGCAAGGATATGTCGGCTCAGTCCCATCATCAATAACCAAGGTGGGATAGTCTACGGGGAAGAATCATTTTGAAACCACATTTAGGCCTGTGTTGAATTTATTAATTATATTCAGCAGACGATAGGCATAAACAATGGCGGGTCCAGAGCAGTCCAAGCAGCAGCAGGTAGAGGATAAAGCTGAGCACATAGATGATGCTGAGCTCGCTCTTCAGGGTATCAACATGCTTCTCAACAACGGATTCAAGGAGAGCGACGAGCTTTTCAGAAAATACAGGTGAGATATTTTTCCTGGCCTTTATAATTTCATAAAATGTAAGCCTATAGTGATATTTGGTCATCAGATCTCATTGCCCACAGCAGCCTATTAGGCCAGACTTTCCCAAACTCAGTCCTGTGGCCCCCCCTGGGTGCACGTTTTGGTTTTTGCCCTACCACGACACCGCTGATTCAAATAACCAACTCATCATCAAGCTTTGATTATTTAAATCAGCTGTGTAGTACTAGGGCAAAAACCAAAACGTGCATCTGCGGGGGACCCCAGGATCGAGTTTGGGAAACCCTGTATTAGGCTACATAATTATTTGAATTGCACAGGTGATTCATTTAAAGGGTGTGCCTTTGTGTGCTCAAACATCAGATTAACTGTACCAACCTGTTTTCAAGGCCCTGTTCAAATACTTGTAATAACCCTTCCAATTTGAGGTGATCACTGATCCTACAGTATGTAGGTATAGGTGCATCAAATTGCTTTACCTATACAATCATGACAGATAGGCCTGCATGATCACCTTAAGGCATTATTAAGTATTTGCATTGTAGCAAATTTTACCCCCAGCAAATTTAAGGTTGGACAGAAATATTGATAAAACATCAGAGCTCAGCATATTTCCATAGAGATGGTACCCATCAGAGCCATACAGGCTATTTCTATTCTAGGCCTACACAAGGCTTTGGTACCATTACAGCATTATAGTCTCACTGGCCATCAGTAATTCCCCCAAACACACTGTCCAAGTCCTACACAAAGGCCATTTGTTCTCTTTGGCAGAACTCACTGGTGCCAAACAGGATATTACCATGGTTAGGCATAATTGGCCTTTTAATTATTTTTGCACCAGTGGCTATGGTTATGTATCATTTACTTTACCCTCTATTTCATCTTAAAGCTGCAGATGAATGCTACTGAGTTGGTTTAACATATAATGTAAATCTAAATTTGAGTCTAAATGTAAATATATCCTTGTCTCTTGAAACAATCCCCATTCATAGCCTAACCCCAAAACAGGAAATTAAATAGTAGTCTATGCACTCCAGCATGGCCCTGACATTCCAAACAACAGTTGAATGGGTAATGGTGACTGAGAAATGGAAGGGTAGTGCACTGCACTCACAGCAATCCAGCTCTGTTTGTGCCAACAGGAGAAACTGCCACTAATTTTAGCTTTCTGGTTAATCAAGCCTTTCTCCCTCCATGAGTCGCTGATGATGCTGAGACAGAGGAACGGACTGAATGTCCCTCTGTAAAGCACTATGTGTGAAAACAGATCTGATTCTTAGTAGTGGCTAAGATGTGCATGGTTATTTTTATAACAATTTCAGTATGATTATTGATCATCAATTCTGATGTTTCCTTTAGTTAGTTATCATTAGTAACATACCCTTTACCTAGTCGATACTCAAGTGACACTGGCTACCATTTCTCTGCTTTCTTGAATTATGTTTGGTATGAGGCAGAAGTAAATGTCTCAATCGCTCTCTCTGGCTGCGTTTACACAGGCAGTCCAATTCTGATCTTTTTTTTTCCAGAAATTGGTCAACAGATCTTTTCACATCAGATCTTTTTCAGATCTGATTGGTCAGATTGGACAAATGAGTGAAAAAATATCAGAATTGGGCTGCCTGTCTAAATGCAGCCTCTGTGTCTATCGCTCCCTTCCATTAACTCTATGTTGTCCTTTCTCTTCAGGACTCACAGTCCGCTGATGAGCTTTGGGGCCAGTTTTGTCAGCTTCCTGGTGAGTTTCCTCAGACTGCATCTTGACTGCAGGACAGGTGTTTTGTCATGACCCCTTGGTTGCCATGACCTCTAGCTTACTTCCCTGGTGGTGGTTCACGTCCTACCTCTAATGACATTCTCTCTCATGACATCACTACAAGCATGCAAGCTAAGAGAGAGGGCAAATGGAATGACTCATCCTAACAATGTTAGTGTGCAACGTTACACCATCATAAACCATACAGTGATGAGGTGTCAGGACTTGACGTGACCCAATTTGTGTAATGGATTACATCATCATGATCACTATTGTCCATTTCCCCTAATTTTTGAACCATTACCATAATGGATGCATCTTCAGCTCATCAAAGCATTTTGCTGTGGATACCCTCGCTCTCTCTCTATCTGCTGCAGTGATGTGTTTGTCGCCTTATTGGTCAGTGAGGAGAGAGTGAAGGAAACCGAGATTTTCTGCAGCATGGTCACGAAACAGCCCCCTGTCACTGCCCCTCATGTCAGAGTCGGAGCACCATGAAGCGAGAGATAATGTCATCCTCCTCTGCCCTCCCATGCAATAGCAAACGCTTGGAAGGATAGTGTGTGGGGTTGGGTCAATGACAACACAAACAGGCCACTGATGCATAGAGGGCCTCACAGTTGTACAAATGAAAAAGCATTCAATTAATCTGAAATTCAAACCACATATTTATATAAGGATGAGGGCATACATTGCATGTCTTTGACTAACAGTTTGATAAAAGGCAACTGAACAAAGAGATTCTTGACCAAGCCAGTGTGGCTCTCACACGTAACACACAATAGGTTCTGGTTGTCACTGTGTTCCTCCGTGTGCTATGGCCTAGAAAGAGCTCTTTGTCCTGTGCCTGCTTTGTAAAACCATTGTGTAACCCCTGTGGTATAATCCTCCTTCAATCCGATTACCACACATTTGTTCATAATACACCCCAATTAAATCAAAATCTGGTCCTATTATTAATAAAATCTGGTACTTATTTCTTTAATTACTTGCATGAGTGTTTTCTCTGTGCCAGCGTTAGCTGGAAAGCTCCAATGTGTTTGTTGTTGTGTATGTGTGGGGGTGCAGAATGCCATGATGACCTTTGAGGAGGAGAAGATGCAGACGGCGTGTGACGACCTGAGGACCACGGAGAAGCTGTGTGAGAGTGACAACGTTGGAGTCATAGAGACAATCAGGAACAAGATCAAGAAGAGTGTGAGTTGGCAACTGATTACAGACAGACAGACAGACAGGCAGAAATGTTTCGTTTACATGGAGCATTTATGTTTAGGATATCCCAACATTCCACTGGGCACACACTGGTTGAATCAACGCTGTTTACACGTTATTTCAAGGAAATTACATTTAACCAATGTGGAATAGGTCATGTAACATGCATAGTTCTGTCTTGATATCTGCTGGTTATACAGTGAGGGAAAAAAGTATTTGATCCCTTGCTGATTTTGTACGTTTGCCCACTGACAAAGACCTGATCAGTCTATAATTTTAATGGTAGGTTTATTTGAACAGTGAGAGACAGAATAACAACAAAAAAATCCAGAAAAACACATGTCAAATATGTTATAAATTGATTTGCATTTTAATGAGGGAAATAAGTATTTGACCCCTCTGCAAAACATGACTTAGTACTTGGTGGCAAAACCCTTGTTGGCAATCACAGAGGTCAGACGTTTCTTGTAGTTGGCCACCAGGTTTGCACACATCTCAGGAGGGATTTTGTCCCACTCCTCTTTGCAGATCTTCTCCAAGTCATTAAGGTTTCGAGCCTGTCGTTTGGCAACTCGAACCTTCAGCTCCCTCCACAGATTTTCTATGGGATTAAGGTCTGGAGTCTGGCTAGGCCACTCCAGGACCTTAATGTGCTTCTTCTTGAGCCACTCCTTTGTTGCCTTGGCTGTGTTTTGGGTCATTGTCATGCTGGAATACCCATCCACGACCCATGTTCAATGCCCTGGCTGAGGGAAGGAGGTTCTCACCCAAGATTTGACGGTACATGGCCCCGTCCATCGTCCCTTTGATGCTGTGAAGTTGTCCTGTCCCCTTAGCAGAAAAACACCCCCAAAGCATAATGTTTCCACCTCCATGTTTGACGGTGGGGATGGTGTTCTTGGGGTCATAGGCAGCATTCCTCCTCCTCCAAACACGGCGAGTTGAGTTGATGCCAAAGAGCTTGATTTTGGTCTCATCTGACCACAACACTTTCACCCAGTTCTCCTCTGAATCATTCAGATGTTCATTGGCAAACTTCAGACGGCCCTGTATATGTGCTTTCTTGAGCAGGGGGACCTTGCGGGTGCTGCAGGATTTCAGTCTTTCACGGCGTAGTGTGTTACCAATTGTTTTCTTGGTGACTATGGTCCCAGCTGCCTTGAGATCATTGACAAGATCCTCCCGTGTAGTTCTGGGCTGATTCCTCACCGTTCTCATGATCATTGCAACTCCACAAGGTGTGATCTTGCATGGAGCCCCAGGCCGAGGGAGATTGACAGTCCTTTTGTGTTCCTTCCATTTGCGAATAATCACACCAACTGTTGTCACCTTCTCACCAAGCTGCTTGGCGATGGTCTTGTAGCCCATTCCAGCCTTGTGTAGGTCTACAATCTTGTCCCTGACATCCTTGGAGAGCTCTTTGGTCTTGGCCATGGTGGAGAGTTTGGAATCTGATTGATTGATTGCTTCTGTGGACAGGTGTCTTTTATACAGGTAACGAGCTTAGATTAGGATCACTCCCTTTAAGAGTGTGCTCCTAATCTCAGCTCGTTACCTGTATAAAAGACACCTGGGAGCCAGAAATCTTTCTGATTGAGAGGGGGTCAAATACTTATTTCCCTCATTAAAATGCAAATCAATTTATAACATCTTTGACATGCGTTTTTCTGGATTTTTTTGTTGTTATTCTGTCTCTCACTGTTCAAATAAACCTACCATTAAAATTATAGACTGATCATTTCTTTGTCAGTGGGCAAACATACAAAATCAGCAGGGGATCAAATACTTTTTTCCCTCACTGTACACCATCACATTGTTTCCAGCTGTATCAGTATCAAGAATCAAAGCCATGATCTTCTATTTTGAGCTTAATGATATTGGCAACTATGAGATCATGTCAATCCCACACTCAATGTAATTAGAAACTCTCTGAAATAGAATGGATACCTGTTTATGATCAACACAGGGGCCTTCTTCATTACGTAGCTGGACTGGCTGATGGTTTAGCTGAGTGTTGATCAGAGAATGACCAGACTACTGTGTGTTTCTGTCTGTCAGTTGGAGTCCCAGAGGTCAGGGGTCGTGGTTGTGGACCGTCTGCAGCGACAGATCATTGTGGCCGACTGCCAGGTCTACCTCGCTGTGCTCTCCTTCGTCAAGCAGGAGCTCTCATGTAATTTATCATTTGTTGAATCCACAATCATTAAATTACTAATGTACTGTAGCTTGCTTGATAGCAATACAGTATGTATTGTTTTGATACATTTTCTATTCAATTATATGTAATATGATTATTACCAGTCTACTGATTTTGGGAAAAATCTGCAAGTAAAATAGGAATCATGAGTGTTAACTGGATTTGACTGGACTGACTCTTACAGTATCTTCTCCTCAACAGCGTACATCAAAGGAGGCTGGATCCTCCGTAAGGCCTGGAAGATGTACAATAAGTGCCACAGTGACATCAGTCAGCTGCAGGAGACCTGTGTGAGGCGCTGTTCCTCCCAGGAGGAGGACCTGTCCTCAGACCAGGCCAACCACAACACCCCAGTGGAGGGTGCTGTGACTGCAGAGGCCCTGGACCGACTCAAGGGCTCCGTCAGCTTCGGCTACGGCCTTTTCCATCTCTGTATCTCCATGGTACCACCACACCTGCTCAAGATCATCAACCTGCTGGGTTTCCCTGGCGATCGTCTCCAGGGTCTGTCCTCCCTCATCTATGCCAGTGAGAGTAAGGACATGAAGGCCCCGCTAGCTACGTGAGTAGGAGTATTAAAGAACTTCTTAGAAGTGCAAGGAAAGAGAGAGAGAGAGAGGGTTCGATTCAGTCCGTAGCGCTGAAGATCTGCGTTGTAGTGCGATTGACATTTAAATCAAATCAAATCAAATTTTATTGGTCACATGCGCCGAATACAACAGGTGCAGACATTGCAGTGAAATGCTTAAAGGCAATGTTCCCACGTTAGCGGAGACTGCATTCACCGTAAACGCTGCATATGTCAGCTCAATCGGAATTTCAATCGCGCTATAACGCTGAACTGAAGCGCTACGGATTTAATCAAACCCTTACTCATAACTGAAGGGAATGACATTCAAGTAATGGGAGAAGGAAAGGGATTAGAAAGGGGGCAAATACTTTTTCATAGCACTGTATGGTCATAATGTTCAGGTCACAGTCAGAGTTATTTTTACTGCTTGAATGAGCTGATATACAGTGCATTCTGAAAATATTAAGACCCCTTGACTTTTTCCACGTTTTGTTACGTTACAGCCTTATTCTAAAATTGATTTACAAAAAAAAACATCAATCTACACACAATACCCCATTATGACAAAGCAAAAACAGATTTTTTATAAATTGTAGCAAATGTATAACAAATAAACAACTGAAATATCACATTTACATAAGTATTCAGACCCTTTACTCAGTACTTTGTAATCTACCTTTGGCAGCGATTACAGCCTCGAGTCTTCTTGGGTATGACGCTACAAGCTTGGCACACCTGTATTTGGGGAGTTTCTCCCATTCTTCTCTGCAGATCCTCTCAAGCTCTGTCAGGTTGGATGGGGAGCATAGCTGCACAGCTATTTTCAGGTCTCTCCAGAGATGTTCGATCGGGTTCACGTCTGGGCTCTGGCTGGGCCACTCAAGGACATTCAGAGACTTGTCCCGAAGCCACTCCTGCGTTGTCTTGGCTGTGTGCTTAGGGTCGTTGTCCTGTTGGAAGGTGAACCTTCGCCCCAGTCTGAGGTCCTGAGCGCTCTGGAGCAGGCTTTCATCAAGGATCTCTCTGTACTTTGCTCCGTTCATCTTTCCCTCGATCCTGACAAGTCTCCCAGTCCCTGCCGCTGAAAAACATCTTCACAGCATGATGCTGCCACCACCATGCTTCACCGTCGAGATGGTGCCAGATGTCCTCCAGACATGACGCCTGGCATTCAGAGCAAAGAGTTAAATCTTGGTTTCATCAGACCAGAGAATCTTGTTTCTCGTGGTCTGAGAGTCCTTTAGGTGCCTTTTGGAAAACTCCAAGCGGGCTGTCATGTGCCTTTTACTGAGGAGTGGCTTCCGTCTGGCCACTCTACCATAAAGGTGCTTCAGAGATGGTTGTCCTTCTGGAAGGTTCTTCCATCTCCACAGAGGAACTCTGGAGCTCTGTCAGAGTGACCATCGGGTTCTTCTTACCAAGGCCTTTCTCCCCCGATTTCTCAGTTTGGCCGGGGTGCCAGCTCTAGGAAGAGTCTTGGTGGTTCCAAACTTCTTCCATTTAAGATTAATGGAGGCCACTGTGTTCTTGGGGACCTTCAATGCTGCAGAAATGTTTTGGTACCCTTCCCCAGATCTGTGCCTCGACACAATCCTGTCTTGGAGCTCTACGGACAATTTCTTCGACCTCATGGCTTGGTTTTTGCTCTGACATGCACTGTCAACTGTGGGACCTTATATAGACAGGTGTGTGCCTTTCCAAATCCTGTCTAATCAATTTAATTTACCACAGGTGGACTCCAATCAAGTTGTAGAAACATCTCAAGGATGGTCAATGGAAACAGGATGCACTGGAGCTCAATTTCGAGTCTCATAGCAAAGGGTCTGAATACTTATGTAAATAAGGTATTTCCGTTTTTTATTTTTAATAAATTAGCAAACATTTTAAACTGTTTTCGCTTTGTGATTAGGGGGTATTGTGTGTAGATTGCTGAGGAATTTTTTGTATTTAATCCATTTTAGAATAAGGCTGTAACGTAACAAAATGTGGAAAACGGGAAGGGGTCTGAATACTTTCCGAAGGCACTGTACGTAGATATGATGTCATCATTTGATAGAAAGTCAGAGCACAGGTCTTGATGTTGATTTGATTGGGGGTGACGTGTTTTGTTATTTTGCTGATGTGTTCCAGCTCATCTCTTTCCCAGCTCTTGGCACAGTGCTTGTTCCTGCTGTCTCATACATGGCCATCTGTTCTGTAATATCTCATAAGTATCATAATGGCATGTTATAATCATAGGGTATTTATTCATTGTATAATACAGGAAACCAGGGACAGGTGTTTGTTGTAAAATATGTCAAATTGAATATTTGAAGTCATAGAGAATTGAGGACACATTGAGTACAATTGCATGCTGCCAGTGGCAGTTGAATGGTTCAATACTCATGACTAGTAGACCTAAGAATAGCAATAATCATGCGCATGCTTATTAGAATGTCTAGTGGTGAAAAAAGGCCCTGAGACAGAAACTACCATTTGCTATTCATGAAATTGAGATGGTGTTTTACCAAATTACTGCAGTGGGGTTTAATTTTGTTCTATACGCCATCTTCACAAAGCTTTTCTTTGTCAAGAAAGTCAATGTTTCATGTTAACTGTTGCATATTAACTATCTAACAAACTTGAATGTACAGTAATCGATATTTAATAAAAACATCTTGAATTGTCTCACAAATAAACCCGATTGCATCCTCTCTCCTCTGCCCAGATTGGCCCTCCTGTGGTACCACACGGTAGTGCTGCCTTTCTTTGCTCTGGATGGTTCTGACACTCAGGCAGGCCTGGAGGAAGCCAAGGCCATTCTGCAGAGGAAGGCTGTGGTCTACCCCAATTCCTCCCTCTTCATGTTCTTTAAAGGACGGGTTCAGAGGTTAGAGGTGAGCACGATGGGATCAGTGGACGGTGAAATAACAGTCTGTTGCCGCTTAGCATTGTACAATACAGTAAGTTGTTGTAGCTCTTAGTAGCTTAGGGCCCTATACAATCCATTAGATTTTCTTGCCTGGTTCCGTTTTGTTTTTTCCCAAATTCCGTTTCCTCCGTTTTTGTTTTTCCAGGTTTCCGTTTTCCCCTGTTTTTCACTGTTTTTCACTCTCAAAATCACACTGTCTTAATAGAAAACAACTAAATTGGATGTCCTAAATCCACAACAATGCTTAAACCACATCAGGAGACTACTTTTGAGGTCTGGATAATTTTTTAGAAATGTTGATTTTTAGATGTAGTTGCCCTTTAATTCCAGCACTCACCTTGCAAGAGGTTGTTGTTTGGTAGAGTGATGGTAGAGTTTGCAAAACAAGTATAATACGTAAAAATTTATGCACACATGACTGTAAGTCGCTTTGGATAAAAGCATCTGCTAAATGGCTTATTATTATTATTATTATTATTATTATTATTATTATTATTATTATTATTATTATATTATTATTAAGTACCCACTGGATTTATGCAGATAATCATGATATAATTCTGCCAGGTAAGCATAGGCTACTTTGTAGTTAACATTAATTGAGAAGGTTTTTGGGAAAGCCTTTCCATTTACTAGAAGACTTTTCATTAGCATCATCGCTAACGGCTACACAAAGTGGCACGCACCGCACATACACAGACGGGGAATTCTCTTTGCCTATTTAGAAAGTTGCATTTTGTTTGTGTTATGATAAACCTGGGCTAATTAATACATTTTCAATAAAAATTTTAATATTGCTGAATTCCATTTTAATTTCTGGATTCCATGATTCCGTCCGTGTTCTCCTCGTTGCGGATTTTATAGGACCCTAGTAGCTCGTAATTGTGTCAAGTGATGCTATCTCTATCTCATCTATCTCCAGTGCCAAATTAACAGTGCTCTGGTGTCCTTCCATGATGCACTAGAGCTCGCATCAGACCAAAGAGAGATTCAGCACGTGTGTCTCTATGAAATCGGTACGTGTTTCCCTGACATGCATGCATGGCAACTTTCAAATGAGCACCCACACATGCAAACACTCATCAGGTACATTCAGTTTACAGTTGCTGAGAGCCAAATCCCTCTGTTGTACCCATTTGTCTTGTCTTGACTTCAGGCTGGTGCAGTATGATCGAGATGAACTTTGAGGATGCGTTCAGGTCGTTTGAGAGGCTGAAGAATGAGTCCCGGTGGTCACAGTGTTACTATGCCTACCTGACTGGAGGTGAGAGGGCCACTGCCCCAGGAACCTGTGGACCATTGATTTTCATCGTCATCATCATCATCTTCTCAAAATTATCTCACACTCTAAACCCCTCCACCCCTCCCTGTTAAAGTATGTCAGGGAGCTGCAGGGGACTTGGATGGTGCCAAGGATGTCTTCAAAGATGTCCAGAAACTGTTCAAGAGGAAGAACAATCAGATTGAGCAGTTTGCCCTCAAGCGGGTGGGTCATTTTCATCCAAATGTATTGACCATATCTTTATGCACTCTTTGTGAAACTAATAACCATGAACCCTCTCCATTTCTCTACCTTGGCTTCTCTGCCCCCACCCTACTGCAGGCAGAGAGACTGAGGAAGATGTCTCCCACCAGAGAGCTGTGCATTCTGGGAGTCATAGAGGTGCTTTACCTGTGGAAGGCTCTGCCCAACTGCTCCTCCTCCAAACTGCAGCTCATGAATCAGTGTAAGGGCTGGAGCTTTATCAGAGGGGGCTTGTGCTTCATAAAGAGAAGACTGGATCTCCTAGTCAAGGAGTTTCCTATGACACAATGGGGTGGAAACCACTTTACTAAATGTTGTGAAGTATTTGACCATTTCTGTGTTTGAGACATTGAGCTCTGTTCAATCTGTATCGCTGAATAATTTCAGATTGAGCGATAGAAATACACTACCATTCAAAAGTTTGGGGTTACTTAGAAATGTCCTTGTTTTCTAAAGAAAAGCATTTTTTTTGTCCATTAAAATAACATCAAATTGATCAGAAATACAGTGTAGACATTGTTAATGTTGTAAATGGCTATTGTAGCTGGACACGGCAGATTTGTAATGGAATATCTACATAGGCGTACAGAGGCCCATTATCAGCAACCATCAGTCCTGTGTTCCAATGGCACGTTGTGTTTGCTAATCCAAGTTTATCATTTTAAAAGGCTAATTGATCATTAGAAAACCCTTTTGCAATTATGTTAGCACAGCTGAAAACTGTTGTGCTGATTAAAGAAGCAATAAAACTGTCCTTCTTGAGACTAGTTGAGTATCTGGAGCATCAGCAATTGTGGGTTCGATGACAGGCTCAAAATGGCCAGAAACAAATAACTTTCTTCTGAAACTCGTCAGTCTATTCTTGTTCTGAGAAGTGAAGGCTATTCCATGCGAGAAATTGCCAAGAAACTGAAGATCTCGTACAACGCTGTGTACTACTCCCTTCACAGAACAGCGCAAACTGGCTCTAACCAGAATAGAAAGAGGAGTGAGAGGCGCCGGTGCACAACTGAGCAAGAGGACAAATACATTCGTGTCTAGTGTCTAGTCTAGGGATGCTGACCTTCTAGGCAGAGTTGCAAAGAAAATGCCGTATCTCAGACTGGCCAATAAAAAGAAAAGATTAAGATGGGCAGTCTGAGATATGGCTTTTTCTTTGCAACTCTGCCTAGAAGGTCAGCATCCCGGAGTCGCCTCTTCACTGTTGACGTTGAGACTGGTGTTTTGCGGGTACTATTTAATGAAGCTGCCAGTTGAGGACCTGTGAGGTGTCTGCCGTTTCCAGCTACAATAGCCATTTACAACATTAACAATGTCTACACCGCCAACGCGGGAACACAGCCTTTATATTTAAATTGGGCTTTAGCTCTGAACGTCCACAATACGGATTAAATAGAGTCCATTGTCCCCTCTCTTTTTAGTGTTACAGAGTGTGGATGACGGATCGTGCAGAGGTCTGAAAAACCTCCTTCTCGGTTCCATCCACAAATGTCATGGAAATAATAAAGATGCTATCCAGGTAATTAGATAATATGTTCCCGAGCACATTATTGTACTGTCATTACGTTATCTTATGCCAGTACAAGCAATTATGTAACTCACTATGTATTTGTGCTGAATTATATCATTAGATTTTCCTTTGGTCTTTCTCCTCCCATCTAGTCGTTCCAGCTGGCTGCCAGAGATGTGTTTGGTCGACAAACCAACTCTTATGTGCAGCCATACTCCTGCTATGAGCTTGGATGTGTCCTGCTCGCCCAGCCAGAGGTGAGAATATCTCAACTCAGACAATCTGTGCGTATACACTACCGGTCAAAAGTTTTAGAACATCAAGCGCTATGATGAAACTGGCTCTCATGAGGACCACCACAGGAATGGAAGACCCAGAGTTACCTCTGCTGCAGAGGATAAGTTCATTAGAGTTACCAGCCACAGAAATTGCAGCCCAAATAAATGCTTCACAGAGTTCAAGTAACAGACACATCTCAACATCAACTGTTCAGAGGAGACTGTGTGAATCAGGCCTTCATGGTTGAATTGCTGCAAAGAAACCACTACTAAAGAACACCAATAAGAAGAAGAGACTTGCTTGGGCCAAGAAACACGAGCAATGGACAATAGACCGGTGGAAATTTGTCCTTTGGTCTGGAGTCCAAATTGGAGATTTTTGGTTCCAACCGCCATGTCTTTGTGAGATGCAGTGTGGGTGAACGGATGATCTCCGCATGTGTATTTCCCGCCGTAAAGCATGGAGGAGGAGATGTTATGGTGTGGTGGTTCTTTGCTGGTGACACTGTCTGTGATTTATTAAGAATTCAAGGCACACTTAACCAGCATGGCTACCACAGCATTCTGCGAGCTTACGCCATCCCATCTGGTTTGGGCTAAGTGGGACTATAATTTGTTTTTCAACAGGACAATGACCCAACACACCTCCAGGCTGTGTAAGAGCTATTTGACCAAGAAGGAGAGTGATGTAGTGTTGCATCAGATGACCTGGCCTCCACAATCCCCCGACCTCAACCAAATTGACATGGTTTGGGATGAGTCGGACCGCAGAGTGAAGGAAAAGCAGCCAACAAGTGCTCAGCATATGTGGGAACTCCTTCAAGACTTTAGGAAAAGCATTCCAGGTGAAGCTGGTTGAGAGAATGCCAAGAGTGTGCAAAGCTCTCATCAAGGCAAAGGGTAGCTATTTGAAGAATCTCAAATATAAAATATATTTTGATTTGTTATTTCATAGTTTTGATGCCTTCACTATTATTCTACAATGTAGAAAATAGTAAAAATAAAGAAACTCTTGAATGAGTAGATGTTCTAAAACTTTGACCGGTAATCTATGTATATGTGGGTGTTTGTGTCCAACATTTACTTAAAGTATTTATCTCAATTAGCTATTGAGTTGTTTTTTGCATTGTGTTTCTGTCCAGACGGTGGGAAAAGGGAGAGCATTTCTGCTTCAGGCAAAGGTACAGTTATCAGATTACATGTATATGAATGGTTAGGGATTTCCGCTTGTGTTTGAAATGACTACATAACACAGTCCATTCTGATTGTGAAGTCATCATTTGTTCTCTGCTCTGCCACTCAGGAGGATTATGCAGGCTATGACTTTGAGAACAGACTTCACGTGCGCATCCACTCAGCCATGGCCTCGCTGAAGGAAGTGGTACCTCAATGACCCTGCCCACCACTGAAGGAATAATGATGATGCAACGACTCAGTCTCCAGCTGTGCACTTGACGATACGGGAAGCATGGCTTTTATTATACGGGGAAAGCCATTCAAAACAACAGTATGACACTCATCAGACAAAATCATTTTTTCCCCCTTTTCTGATAGATGTTTTACACATCCAAATACAATAAACCAACAATTTCATAGTCAATACCATTTTTTTCTTAATGTACTGGAGGGTTTTAGCCCTGCAAACCTTCCTTCCATTCTGTGGACCATACATAACGTTACATAGGATACAAGTAACTTCTTGAAGAGGCACACCTTATTCTCATTTCAGGTTTTCTTGACCACAGGTAGTAACAGTACAGTTAACAATAAGTAACCTTGTATTTTATGTTCTTGTCATATTCTTGGGAAGACATGTACAAGAGACGTTTGAGTATAACCTATAATCAAGTGGTCAAATGGTTATTTGCCAAGTTTTTGTCTTTGTGTTTGCCTCATGTGACAAGGCAAGACAAAGGTTATTGATTGTATTAGTTGTTGCTGCTGCTGTAGTACCCTCTTATTGACCAATATCCATACAGTTATCGCCTCTGGTTTTTCAGAAATGAGTCCTTTATTAAATGGCCCTACTTTGCTTGTCATGATGCCAACAAACATTTTGATAAATATATCATTTTTCTGCATTGAGAAAGTGTTAGTGAAATCTCATGGTGACAACAACCCCAAAAATTATGGGACAAGAACTTAGTGGCCTGCTACCTTGCAGTATTGTATTACGCAGTGTGCCATACATAGTGTACCATACCATGCAGTGAAAACTAGTAATATTAGCATCAGGTACCTTGAATTCTGAATAGTATGAAATTGCTTTTACATTCTGACATTCACATATTAGCTTACAAGTAACATGCACAGATAAAATGTATTGTGACATTTTTGCACAATGCAATATCCAAACAATGTTATAGATTATTTATTTTAGTTTACAAGCAGTGGGCATTGATCTGCACTATGCATGCAATGGCAGGGGTATTATTAGTGACCCAAGGACCTGAAAGCTTATTTTCTACCGCTGTGTACTATGAATCAGAACGTTTTTTTCCTGAGATACTTTGGATGACAACAGAACACATTTATATTCATATTTACTCTGGTTTTTAACAAAATCCAACAAGGTCCTTATTAACTACAGGCATTGTAATAATCATGGTAGGTTTTAGGTTACTATACAAACTGGACATTAACGTTTGATATTCTGTCGTTTTAGTTTGATCAGGCTTTTCTATCAGGCATCACTGATGACGAGTGAAACATTCAAGACAGTAAAAAACTAAATTGAAAATGCAGGGCATTGTATCACTCTTTTCATAATCACTCTGAGGTATGGTCACCAAGCAATAAAAAGCATGCAAGAAGAGTGCTAACTTTACACTGGAGGTTTGATAAGCTGTCACAAACTTTGTTTACATTTGTTTTTGTCCCACTTCAAAGGAATAACAAAGGCTTAACTACTTGTACAAGCACTACATAGCACACATCATTAATTAGAAAATTCATACTACATGAAGGGTGACATAAACAGTCTTTAATTCATACTACATGAAGGGTGATATAAACAGTCTTTAATTCATACTACATGAAGGGTGATATAAACAGTCTTTAATTCATACTACATGAAGGGTGATATAAACAGTCTTTAATTCATACTACATGAAGGGTGATATAAATGGTATTTAATTCATACTACATGAAGGGTGATATAAATTGTATTTAATTCATACTACATGAAGGGTGATATAAATGGTATTTACATCTGGTGCTTGCTAAATTAGGAATAACTATTTTCCACCCTTCATATAAAATGGCATATTCTTATGAATGATTTCTTAAGCATCTATATAGATAGGCCTTGAAGGCTTCAAAATGCTATGTTTCATTTAAAGTGGGACTCTTTTTTTCATGTTCAAGGATGGGTATGAACACTTTTCTTTATCTACACTAAAGTCAGTCAGTGACCTCCCATCTTCTCCTGTGATTGTGTAAAGGGATGTAAGATGTCGTGTGATGTAAAAGTGTTGACTACTGAGTGTGACCATTAAGTGCTGGTATAAAGTAAGTCCACAGCTGTAAGAGCAAAGTATCTTATAATGACATGTAATGATATGAGCGAAATTCATTATATGTATACCAAAAAAACGGGAAATTGCTGTCTTAGAAATGTGCTCTATCCACTTTGTTGTGAGGTTGAAGAGGATGATGTGGAGATTGTTCAATTGTAACAGAGTGGTCCTGTGTGGTGTCTAAAGAGATCTACAAACTGTTCAATAAAGGGTTGTCAATTAATCCAGCATTTCGAATGAGCTGTTTCTACACTGAACAAAAATATAAAGCAACATGAAAAGTGTTGGTCCCATGTTTCATGAGCTGAAATAAAAAATCCCAGAAATGTTCCATATGCTGAGAAAAAAAAAAAAGGGGGGGGGGGGGGGGGGGGGTGTATGCTGAGGAGTATTTCTGTCTGTAATAAAGCCTTTTTGTGGGTAAAAACTCATTCTGATTGTCTGGGCCTGGCTCTTCAGTGGGTGGGCCTGGCTGCCAAGTGGGTGGGCCTATGCCCTCCCAGGCCCACCCATGACTGGATCCCTGCCCAGTCATGTGAAATCCATAGATTAGGGCCTAATGAATTTATTTCAATTGACTGATTTCCTTATATGAACTGTAACTCAGTAAAATCATTGAAATTGTTGCATGTTGCGTTTTTATTTTTGTTCAGTATATTTTATGCCGATAACATCAGTCTTGTGGTTTAATTTATGCCCATATGAAAAACAACTGTTTATTTGATTAGTTCGCAGTTGGCACCATATGGAAGTGGCGGGAGGCAACTTCAGATGCCATGCATTGTGATCTCAAACTGACGCATAATAATGCCTTTCCCGTGTGGGCCACGCCCATTATTATGACGAACTGCCTATTTAGAAAATTGTTTTACCGATTTATTACATTGTTACCTCTAGGTAAATTAATGTGACATCATATTGCTTTGCATTTGTAATACGTGAATTGAAAAGAGGACGGTTCTTCGCAGAGTAAGTTAATTTACTTTTCAGACAAAAGTTGAAACACAGTCAACCTACATTTTATAGTTGCACTTAAAAAAAGAAAAAGGCTCTGAAGCTGACGTGTTCCTTATATAAAGTAATATAGGCCGATATATTTGATTGATTTAATTAATATAATATTTCCCATCAGGAGAATTATCTCTATGAGGTGATGCTCCAATAAAGGCGAGATGTCCTACAGCTATCCCTCCAAAGTCAACGTGCCTCCGGGTTTGAGGACGCTTTTGGAAGGACTCAGTCGGGCCATAGTGAAAAGACAGCCAGATTACATCTCACAGTTTGCTAAATTTTACTTTGTCGAGCTCTTGCGCTTCAGGACAGGTACACATGTTTGTGGAGAATAGCATTCGTTTTTTTCAACATAGCATGAAATCTGTTGGGAACACTGAAGTAAAATGTTTCATTGCTGTGTTGTGTACAGAAAATCCAACTCTTGCTATCAAAGCCCTTGTGAGAGAATTCAATGCAACTAAAGGTAGGCCTAACTAGATAATAGTCCATAATGATAAGGCCATGCCCAGGTACCAAAACAGGTACCTGAAGAGTATTGTAATACAATTAATAAATGTGACTATCTCCTGGCTTTTTAAGAAATTACAATTTAACACCTGACAAGAATCAAATAACATGACCCTCATATTTATTTTTCTCTTATAGTGCCTAAGTTTCCAAGTCATGGCATTGGAACTGATGTTGCTCCACTGGCAGTTCAGAATGAAAGTGCCACAGCAGTCTCTCCTGGTGGTCCATATGTCCAACCATGTGGAGGTTACCCTCCGGCCGGGATTTTTCCAACCCTTCCCAGTATTCCAGGAGTGGAGGAGCAGGATGCTGAGCAGCCCTGGATCCACAGCCAGGACATTCTGTACACCGTCACAACGTTGCCTGGTCTATCAGCCTCCAATGAAGCTGCAGAAGCAAATTCCCTAGCAAGCCAATACCTCAATGACTATGGCCTTCAGAGCCTTCTGCAGGCAGATATCTCTAACATGTCCCCTCACCCCATCTCAGCAGAGCAGACCGATGATGTAGTCATCTTCCGCAGGAAATCCAGCACAGACTGCATGATGGCTAACTGTGACATCAACTCTACTGCTTCAGACCGGACCCGGCGAACCGAGTCAGCTCTCTTCGAGAGGGTCCCACTGAGTGAGATCGATCTCATATCCAATGCTGTTCTGATCAGGACACCTTCTGTGCCCTGTGAGTACATGATTGTGGTGCAGTCAGACAATGTCCCGGAGACCATAGTGTTTCAGAGAGACTCATCAGTCAGTAAGAAAATGCGGAATGCTCAAACAGCAGCAGATGGTGGTGCTGCCACTGGTGCCCCGGGCAACGCCCAGTCTGACTGCACACCCTGTTTCACCCCGCCTACAGCCCCATCGCAAGTGGTCAAAGATCAGTCTGCCACCAAATTGGTCACGCCCCTAGTGATGACTGAGGACCCTCAGCTTTTTGGTCGTGGAAATAGGGCTGTCTTAACCCAACTTGATTGGAATCCACTTTCACCTGGAGAAAATGTTTCCTACAAGCATATGGACATAAATAACGCATTACCTGATGCAAATGCCTACAACCCCTACATGAATGAGATGATAGTGGATAAAATGAATGGGGTGAACTTTGGTGTTTTACCCAAGGTGTCAGATGAGATGACAGGCTTCAATGTTATGGGCCCACCCACCTTCATGCCACCACGTGTTTCAGCAGCAGAAGGAATAAGTGCTCCTAGTTTAGTGTATTCTTCGATTTCAGCTGGACAGGAGGCTAATACACTCAGTTTGGTGCTCCCGCCTATTTCCATTGCTCAAGAAAGTGGAGCACTCCCATTGCTTAGTCCACCACCTATCTCAATGCCACAGGCCATTACAGCCCCCAGTGTGGTGTTCCCAGCCACCTCACAACCAGAGGAAACAAAGACCTCCAAGTTGATGGACCCACCTCTCTCCAAGGCAGAGGAAATACAGGCCCTCCGATCAATGTACCCTTCTATTGTGCCACCCAGTTTACCAAACCCATCTGTACCAGCTCCACAGGAAACAACAGCCCCTCTGCTTTATTACCCATTTTTGGCCCAGGAGGAAACAAGACCCCCTTCATTGCCACTCCCCCAGGCCCCAGTTGCCCACCTGTATCAGTGCACTGGTCAGAATGCACTAGCATTCCATGTGAATGAGGAGAGCAGAAGAACACCATATATGATTCCATTGGTCTCCCAAAGCATAATGGGAGTGACACAGATGTATGTTCAACCACAACAACCCCAGTTCATTCACAGCTGGTCCAGAGAAGCAGGTAAGTTAAATAGCAGGTAGTTGTGAAAGGATAATATAGTATGCTCTTTTTTTATATCATATCGACCCTAATGTACCAATTGTAGTTCATCACTCTTTTCATGTTGTTATTTATGAGAAAAAAAATTTATGCACTCACTAACTGTAAGTCGCTCTGGATAAGAGCGTCTGCTAAATGACTGAAATATATGAAATATAAATATATGACATTAACCCCCCTAACAAATCTCCTCTATTATCATCCCTGTAGATTCACAAAGGCCATGTGACACAGCGCCTACTGAGGCCATGCCAGAGTGCCAGTATGTTAGACCTGAAGCATGTGGTAGCAGCTGGAGACTCTGCCACCTGGCACTCCCTGAGTCTATGGCCAGGATGCCAACAGCTGTGGCTTGCCCAGGAGGATCTAGGACTGTGATTGGCCGTGGGCAAGAGCAAGGCTACCTCCCTGACCAGGCCAACTTGCCAATGCACCAGGACTTTGGGCCCCAGTTCAGCTCCCATCCCATACGTGCCAGCTTGTTTCAAACCCTCTGCCCCATGAGTGGTGCCTACATGCCAGTCAAACCCTCAGACCATCGCTGCTGCCAGGCTGCCCCTGATGTGATCCTTCCACACTATGCACTGATCAATAGCCCAACTCACGGTGTTGCCTCTTGTCTTTTCCCTGCTCCATCCTCCATGCAGCCCCAGGGTTTTGCCTATGATCCTGTCCACATGTATGGTCCCCACAGTGAATCTGTGAATGCAATGTCATCCACCTTCAATGTGAGGGCCCATGCACGCCACCAGCAAGAGACAGCAGAACACTGCAGAGAGCCCAGCAATATGCCAATGGGTGAAAATCCAAATGAGCAGAATTATTCTGGTATATGAAAATGTTATTTCTGGTATATGAAAATGTTATTTCTCTATCATTTGTTAGAATGTGTCTTGGAATAAGTGTGACATTATGTTCAGATTGTCATTTTATCTCTAGTTTATTCAGCGTAACTCATTCTTGTCTAAATTCCAGGTTATTGACAGCACGTCACCAGGAATGAACAACTTATTTAATTTGTTCCTGAAAACATACTGAACACTGTCAACATTCCGCAATAAACTTAACTATCTTCTGAAATATTCTGAGTTGCGATGTCATGATCTACAGTTGCACAAATTGAACTAATAGAATGAGAAGAACTAGAATTTCATCACCACAACTAGAATGCAAACATATTTTCTGTAGGCCTATTCACATAAATGCAATATCATGAGGATGGACTAAACATTTTGAAATAAACATCAATGTTCCTGGTAAGATAACTGATAAAATATTAGCTACCTTTACCAAGCGTCAGGAATTATTGTAGCCAACTGAAAAAGATTTCCTTGGCAACCCTTTAGAGTTTTTAACTAAAACAAGGGTAATGAAAGCCTAGCTAGCTAACTTAGCTAGGTAGTTAGATGTATTGAACAAAATCAATGATGAGACATAAACAGTAGAAGTTAAATATCACTGGGTGAAGGCCATTTTTCATATCTCCACTTCGGGAATTGGACTCTGGATTTTAGTGACAGCAGGTGTTTTTAGCTTGTAACTGAAACCCAAAGTGAGTTGCAAGTGTGACTGCAATGCTGCATGGGGTGAGCCTTATCAGAGAGGAAGAAGACGAGAGAGACCCAACTCGGCAGAAAATCTGTCTCCCTCCAGCAGGTGGCGATTTTTCGTTGCTTCGCCCACCAAAGAAGGAGTTTTTTGAATGGAGGTCAATGAGAGTTAAATTTGGTAAATACAATAATTAATGGCTTATTTGCTATGTGAGGTTTATTTGATCTAATAGAAGTTTGGTAATGCTTAAGTTCTTATGAGTGTACTGATATGAGTAGGACACGTGACATCCCGGCAACTTTGAGAAAAAACACTTTATATTGGAGTTGTCTCGAGATCGCTATGCATGTTCATGACATGAGGCTAGTAGCATAGCATCTCTCTTCATTGAATAAAGGCGGTTAACGACAACAACCCTCATTGAATATTCAAAAAAGGATTACAATAATTAGATGTATCCACCAATCCAAAGAATGGATAGGCTGGAGCTAGACAGCCCGCCGTGCTTCTTTGTGGACAATGACTCCCATTGTTAGGGCGGAGAGACATGTATCTTGTCAGTATATCCATAATCTTTGGCATTATGCATTGGTTTACATTTGCTTAAAGATGCACCATGCAGAAATCGCTCTGCCATTTCCTGGTTGCTAAAATTCTAATAGTTAGCCTAATTTCAGTTTACGTGACAAAACAAGAAAGTATAGTGTAGAGAATCATTGTACCATCTGTGAAATATATTTTCCATAACCAAAAATATGGTATTTTCAGCTGTTTGAAGCTGGTGTACAAAACCAAAAGTGAAGGAAAAAATGAATGGGAAGCATAGAATAGCACACATAGAACAGATCTACCCATAGCCATGGGAAGTAGGGGTGCTGAGGGTGCTGCAGCACCCCCTGAAAAATCAGAATAAAAAGTAGAAAAAGCACAAAGGTAGTGCACTGGGCCTTTAATAGTCCGGGCCGCTGCGAACCGATATAGCTGTCTGCAGCGCCAGCGTGGGCAAAAAGCCATTCTGGGTCTAATGTATAGACACTGACATTACTGTGTATGGATCAGAGACTGAATGTATACATATACACTACCGTTCAAAAGTTTGGGGTCACTTAGAAATGTCCTTGTTTTCTAAAGAAAATAAAAAAAATGTCCATTCAAATAACATCAAATTGATCAGAAATCTCCATTTTGCAACGCCATGCCATACCCTGTGGACGGCGCTTGATTGGAGCCAATTTCCTCCTACAACAGGACAATGACCCAAAGCACAGCTCCAAACTATGCAATAACTATTTAGGGAAGAAGCAGTCAGCTGGTATTCCGTCTATAATGGAGTGGCCAGCACAGTCACCGGATCTCAACCCTATTGAGCTGTTGTGGGAGCAGCTTGACCGTATGGTACGAATCATGAGAATCGCAATACATATTACATCGGCACATAAGTATCATGATATGGTACTGTGAGGTCCCTGGAAATTTCCAGAAGAATGTAATTACTTTTCCCCCCTTTTCTGGTTTGTCACAAACTTTATTCCCACATACACTCGCTCTAATAGACGGCCATTGTTGTGTGTGTGTATGTTTGGTTCCACAAATGGGAAAACATTCCCTCTAAACGTAAAGGATATTAAAGAACAGTGATAACAGTCATCTTCGAACAGTCTTTAAACAGCCAGACTTCTAGAGCTCCATGATATAATCTATACGTGACGTCTTCCTCTCGCTGGGGAGGCTGAAAGCCTTCTCCACCAGATCTGCCTCTGAATCTTCACCATGTTCTCCTCCACATAGTCCCCTATGAACTTAGTGATGACAACGTCTCTCTTCTGGCCGAGGCGGTGACAGCAGTCTACACACTGGTCCTCTGTTGCTGGGATCCAGGTTGGGTCCAAGAGGAAGACACGCGAAGCAGCTGTGAGATTTAGCCCCACCCCTCCAGCTTTGACTGACAGCAGCATGATCAATTGGCTGCCTGGTGAATCATTCTGGAACTCCTGGATCACCTGAGCCCACCTCTTCTGGTTCAGTGCAGTCCAGACGCACAAACCTGAAACCCTCCTCCCCGAGTGGAACCTGCAGTAGAGTGAGGAGGCTAGACATTAGAGCAGGGTTCTCCAACCCTGTTCCTGGAGAGCTACCCTCCTGTACGTTTTTGCGCCAACCCCAGTTGTAACTAACCTGATTCAGCTTATCAACCAGCTAATTATTAGAATCAGGTGTGCTAGATTAGGGTTGGAGTGAAAACCTACAGGACGGTAGCTCTCCAGGAACAGGGTTGGAGAGCCTCCACCTTGGAGCTGCTCCTCCAGTACTCTGAGAGGTACCTCTCCTCCTCCTCTTCTTCCTGAGGAAACTCCACCATCTCACTGGCCTTGATCTGGCCTCTGCACAGAGGACACCACGCCTGCTCAGTACGTATGACCTCTGCGATGCAGAGTCTGCAGTAAATGTGTGCACAGTGCGTGATGACGGGCAGACAGACAGTCCAGACACACAGCACACTCCTCAGCCTCTCTATCAGATGCTCTCTCAACTCTGCAGGAGTCACAGTTACCACACCTGTGTGTGTAGAGTTCTTTCCCAGCAGGTCAGGGTGGCAGCAGAACTGTCTCAGTCTGACCAGGAGAGCCAGAACATCCGCGCAGTTCCTGAGGACGGTCCCCTCTGCAATGTTCGTGCTGATGGTGTTGCATCCCTCTGTGCGTGCCAGCTCGTATTCATCCCTCTCTTTCTGTGTCAGTGCCACCTTTTCTATACTGACGCTCCACTCTGGCAGAGAGACCAGAGGCCGCCCACACATACACACTACTGTTCTTCGTACGACGCAGCGTGATACACTTCACCAAAGCCTGCAGGTTCTGAAGGCCGGTCCTGTCCCTCTGTGTAATGGGTCTCTGTATGACTGTTCCGCCATTCTCTCACGTCAAACGACTTCAGATGCAGAAACGCCACCAGCATCCATAGATCCCTATGAAATGGACAAAACAAAACACAAAGTAAGTGTTCATGGAAGGGGATGCAAATAGCCTGGCTATCCTACATTAATCATGGTATCATGCTGACCTAGTCTAATTAATGGTAGGCTTTATCTGGCTAGTAGGCCTAAGTGTAGCTAGCTATCAGTAAACATCATTATTCATCCCCACCTACTGGGAAATCATAATTTTAATATTTGATTTGTTTTATGTTGACGCAATTACTATAGCTACATGTGCTTACATCTATGCGGCACAGCCTTCAATATGTGAGACTCAATGTGTACCCAAAAACTGGCATAGTCTCGGGGCTTGATAATGGAGGGCTGGCAAAAGGGGAAATGATACAATTGGCACTTCTGGAACTGGGATAAAACCATGAAGTCATCAGCAGCTTTAAAAACTGTGATATGCTGTCAAACACAAACATAAATGACAAATAGTTTAGTAAGCTAGAA